CGTGCCCTTAGATCCCATCCTCGTCGCCATGTCTCGGACGGCCGGAGCCGACTCGAGGTGATTTAGAAATTACTTGGTCGTTTGGGCGGGCTGGTGAATGGAGAGGCAGACACAGCTTATCGGTTGCAAAAACTTTACTTACGCCGCCTGTAGCCGTGACGCAGGTGGTCCGGTCGTCTGAACAACTATGTCAGTTGCTCCAGCTGGCAAGGCTCAGGCCAGCTAATCCGTCCACAGATTAAGCCGGCGGGGAAAGGGTACATCGGGATTTGCGCTCGGCGACGGGGAGAAGAATCGATAGGTGATCAGTCTATCGATCAGCTCAGCCGCAAGTCAGATCTCTTTAGAGGCACTCTGCAGCATGATCGGGATTTGCGCTCGGCGACGGGGAGAAGAATCGATAGGTGATCAGTCTATCGATCAGCTCAGCCGCAAGTCAGATCTCTTTAGAGGCACTCTGCAGCATGCTCAAAGTTCTCCGACTTGGGCGGAAGTCGCACGAAATTTTAAACGGCTAGCAAGCCAATTACTAGCCGCCACGTAGGAATAATTTAGAACTGGCCAATAGCGGGACACAAATTTGCATCCAAATGGCAGGAACTCTCTTGCACCGAGGTTTTTCTGTTGCAACAAAAACCTTTGCTGTGCAAGAGGCTCTCATGTGGCGGGAAAATTCCATCGTGCCGAGGCATCAAAATCACTGGGTTGTGACACTCCGCAGCTCTGCTGGTGATCGAACTTGCTAAATGCTTAGGACAAAAAGACATTTTTTTAAAGTGTGTATGAAAACATAATCCTACCTTTTTCTGTATCTAGGAAAAGCTATTCCCCCCCCCCTTTGTTTTTAAAAAGTGATCTTCGCTGCACAAAAGTGTCCTTATGGTATCAATTCAGGCGTTAGATACCATGTTTTCAATTTAAGGGATGATTTTTTTTTCCACTATAATTTTCAATTCCAATAAGTGGGCAACTGGTGCCACCTTAGTTCGGGGGGGCACCTGCGCCTCCTGTGACCAGTCTCACCGACCGGGGAGAGCAATCCTGCCAACCGGGGAGGGGTCCTCCCCGGGCGATCCTGCAATGGCCAATTGCTGTGGCTGATCACTGCGATCACTGCAGCCGCTTCTGGGAGTGGCTGTGGCCGCTTCTGAGAGCAAGCGCCGGCTGATCACTGCAGACGCTCAGCAATTGCAGCGATCAGCCAGCGCTTGCAGTGGGTGCACCAGCGTTCTCAGGGGGTGCACATGCACCCCTGTGCCCCCTCTACACATCACCACTAATTATCTATGGGCTCAAGCTCAGCTGGACTTGTATAGATGTGAAAATGTAAGAGGGAAGGACACATGAAATTTTTTCTTTCCCCTTAAGCCATTTGATAAAACTCCTCCATGGTCCCATACACATATAGAAATCCTGCTTCCTGAAATAGTAGGAACAGGACCATGACCACACCCTGTTCCTCTCTTAGCATTAGCTGGAAGACCTGATTAGACATATTCAGAGGTGTACACTGCATTGATGTAGTGCATGTATTCCTTAGGTAAAATAAGCTAGTATTTTCATCAGTAGTGCAATTGAGGGGTCATGACCAGGCATCACTTTTGGAGGAAGAGGGGGTACACAGAGCTGCCCCATTATGCCTCTGATTTCCATGAGGGCTCCAGCCGCCAAATAATGTCAGCACTAGCAACACAAATATCCAGTGTTTCCTTAAAATTCACTTGTATGCCAGAGGAATGGATAGTAAATGTGAGGTTTATTAAAACAATGGTAGGGGAGACCTTAGAAATTATAGATTAAACCCTGAAGCCCTCTTTCAAGACCATCTTAACTGTCTGAATAATTAATTAATAACAGGTAAAAATGCTTTAACATTATGTGATAAGGACAAACTGTCTCTAAAAGAAAATTATGCCTTTCAAATCTACTAGAATTCTCTGACTCTGAGGCCATCTCCACATACAGGCATACAGGTAAAGGAACGGGATCTAGATAGATGGGATCTAATGCATAATCCACGCAATCGCGCCTCCTGTCATGCCACACATGCACAGCAGGAAGCATGACTGTGGGATCAAAAATCAAATCCCATCATGCCTTATTGCCAGTGCAGGGGGAACCTGATTCCAGGCTTCTCCTTTAAAGGGCAAAAACATGGGAAATCATGGGTTTCCCTTTGCAGGCTTGCCAAGTTCCAGTCCAGCCTGCAAGGGTCTGAGGGAGGAGGGCAATTGGAGGCTGCCGGTGTCATGTGCACGTGTACGTGCACATGCATGTGGCAGCCAAGTAACAGTGGAGAGCAGCTCCCTCCAAGTAAGTCTGTGGAAGGAGGGGAGGATGGAAGGGGCAAAGGCCATGCGCTGGGCAGTTTGGGGCATACAGCTTTCCTACATTCATTTTTTATCAACAGGGATCCAGCTTTTCTGCTTCCTGCAGAAAAATGGGGATTTTCCCCTATAAAGGAGAATATTGCAGATTTTCCTACAGTGTATATGCTATACCTTAAATAGAACATGTAGATGGGGGGGCATATAGCTTTCCTAAAAGTCTTTTATAAAATCCTTTACAAGATGCAGTTAAATAAACTGGTGTGAAAACTTTCAGAGGGACCTAGAAATGTAGGTGACTGAGCAGCCAGGAGAAAATAATATAATGAATAGTTGCTGGTTAAATGAGTATTTATATTCTATACATTAAATTAAAGGCGTCCCCTGCCTCCAATTGCCATTGCCCCACTCTCCCCAGTCCTAAGCAGCTCCTTGCAGGCTGGAAGGCTGCTGGCTCGCAAAGGGAAATCCTCAGTTTCCCGCTTCAAAGGAGAAAATCTGCAGTTTTCTCCTTTAAAGGGGAAAATCCTCATTTTCCTTCAGGAAACAGAAAACCTGGATCCCTGGTGATAATGAATTCACTGATGTATGTTAAGTCAACTGTATGTTGACACAAGTACAGTATGGTAAAGAGGAGTACAATAAACAAAAAAAACCTTATAAAGTATACAAGTGCAGCCAGTACATATGATTGTGACAGCAACCTCAACCTGACATGAACAGGATTACTGAAAGCCATGTTCTGGTTACATGTACAGTACTTCAAATCCATTCTGGAGATGCCTGAATGTTATCTCTTATGAAGTAAGATGCTGACTGTTTGTGGAAAAGAGAATGGAAATAGACAATGAGGTAGTTGATTGGAGGACAACTTAAATATAACTTTAATTATATAACTTGTTCAAAATAAATACAAAAATCACACCATGCCCTTTAATTACAGTTGTTGTTTTAACGTTCTCATGGTTTTGCTGCATGATTTCTTCTCAGTTCTCACAAGCATTTATCAGAATTGATGCATCTTAACTTTTCAGGATATAAAATGTGGGTAAAAAGTCACTTTACATAAAAGAGGTGGAAACAGAGTTTCACTGGGGCAAGGGAATTTTGGCCCATTTTTTTTCTGAATACCTTGTGCGGCAGGGAAAAAACCCACTGACGTAAGGGTTGACTTTGTTTTCCAGCCATGTTAGCTCACATCTGTCAGTAAATACTGGTTTTAAAGGCTGCATGAAAGGTTTCCAGTTTCAAAAGAAAGATTTCAACTTGTTAGAGGAGTCTGGAACCCTGGGAATCAGCTACGGCTGCCCAGAAGAATCACTGGTAAGTTCAACACCATGCATAAGTCTACAACTAATTTTTTTATTCTGAATGTGACTTAACATGCTTTATAGACTAGGTAGGGTAGGGTTATAATTCAGAGAGACCCCAACAATTGGAGGATTGGACCAAAAGAAATCTCATTAGGTTCAATAAGGAGAAGTGCAAAGTCCTGCACTTAGGATGGAATAATCCCATGCACCAGTACAGGCTGGGGACTGCCTGGCTAAGCAGCAGCTCTGCAGAAAAGGACTTGGGAGTCATGGTGAACAGTAAGATGAATAGGAGTCAGTGTGCCCTTGTTGCAAAGAAGGGTAACAGCATACTGGGCTGCATTAGTAGGAGCATTGCCAGCAGACCAAGGGGAGTGATTGTTCCCCTCCATTTGGCACTGGTGAGGCCACATCTGGAGTACCGTGTCCAGTTTTGGGCCCCCCACTACAGAAAAAAAGTGGACAAATTGGAGAGTCTAGCAGAGGGAAACAAAAATGTTGAGGGGACTGGGGCACATGACTTCTGAGGAGAGGCTGAGGGAATTGGTCTATAGAAGAGAAGACTGTATTTAGTCTATAGAAGGGAAGACTGAGGGGGGTTTGAATATCAACCTGCAACTACCTGAAGGGGGGTTACAAAGAAGATGTGTCTAGATTGTTATCTGAGGTGGCAGATGACAGAACAAGGAGCAATGGTCTCAAGCTGCAGCAAGGGAGGTTTAGGTTAGATATTAGGAAAAACGTTCTCATTAGGAGGGTAGTAAAACACTGGAACAGGTTACCCAGAGAGGTTGTGGAGTCTCCATCCTTGGAGAACTGGCCCAACAGAGTCTAAAGGAAAATATTTTATATATCTTTTTATTACTAACTTTATTGTATTGCTAAAAATGCAACATTGCATGCATTGTACAGTATAATAGGAAATTGTATAGTATTGTATTAGTACTGAAAAGTATTTTAAAAACACTATCTACAGCCCACTTGTGACTTTGTTTACTTGACATGCAGCTGTCTCGCAAAGCATATTTCAATGGAGAGAGCTTCATTGCATCCAGCCAAAAAGGATCTCCCTTTGATGATTTTGAAGGAGGATTCAATTTCCGAACCTTGCAGCCTAATGGGTTGCTATTCTATTATACTGAAGGAGTGAGTATACTTTTCCTTGGTGTTTTCTAACTTACCCATATTTGCCATCTAAACTAGGAAACATGGAATGTAAATATGTTGGGTTAACCAAAACAGACAGCCTAAAGTATCAGAAAGTGTCAGGTCTGTAAGGAACCCTACTGTAAAGAAGTGATGTGAAGTACTATAAAAGAAGAACCCAAAATCACAAATGGAATGCGAGCAATGCTGGACTGATGGAGATTGGGTCCTAAATGGGAAATAATGGAGTAACTGTTTAATGAGTGCCCTAAATATCAGATCCAAAGAAACCATTTCTCTTCTAACTGGCACACTTTGGCCCTGCAAAAAACCCTAGGGGAACAGCAATAATATGTATGTGAGAAGCAGAAGGAAAAATAAATATTACAGGAAAAGTCACAGGACTTTGAAGCTTACTGCAATATGCTTGTCTTTGAAACATGTTTTTGTTTTTTTTGTATTTCAGTCAGATGCATTTTCCATCTCCATGGATAAAGGTGCTGTAGTTTTAAATACAACGGGAATCAAAGTTCAGTCAAAAGATAGCAATTACAATGATGGTAAAACTCATTTTATCATTACTTCTGCCTCACCGGAAAGGTAATGCTACTCAGCCTGCTTTAGTTCACCACCACCACCACTATCTGATATATAATATTTATACAGTGCAAGTTGTCTATTAATGTTTTTGTAAAGCAGATTTCAAAGCCACTATTTTAGGTTTTTCCATACTAGACCCTTCTTGCAAGGGATAAACAATTAAAAAATACAAACCTTAAATCTATATGGTTGTAGTCTACTCTGCTTGACCGCAGCGTGCAATTATTTTAATAAAACTTTGTCAGGGGGGAGGAGGGGTACTATTTTAAGCTTGTGAAGATTTTTTTTTTCTCATGAAAAAACACAGATAACTAAAAGCTACTAATTGGCAAATGATTAATTCTTCAGAAGAACTGACTGCTTGCTTTGTTAAAACACCCCAAAAATCTTAAATTAGCTGAGTCATCTTTGCTTAGAAATGTCATATTGAATATACATGGTAAAAACTGTCCATAATACCTTTATTGGTTGCCAGGCTGTAAAAATTTTAGATTCAAGATGGCAAGGAACAAGCCCCACTTGTTGGAAAACCTGAAATATTTGTTTCATTTAAACCTGTTCACTTTATCACCATGCTCAATTTTAAAAAAACCTCTTATAATTCAAAACCAGGTTTTCAAAGTCTTCCTTACAGTCATTTGTCTATGGAGAGAGAACCTATTCTTGCTAATTTTTCAGACTCACATGGAGGTTTGCATGTGTGACCTGTCATTTACAATAATTTTAAAGAAATATTTTTCAAAATGTTGCATATATATCAGGGTGGACAAAATATGGCATGTAGGCTGGATCTGGCTCACCAACTGTTTGTATCCAGGCTGCAGGTGGGCAGCTTCAAAGTCATGGGATCAAGGTCACGAGGAGCCAGTGGTTCTGGCTGCTGGGTCATGCCGGGCACATCCCAGACCCTTCCACAACTTACACTAGCTCCTGCCCTGTGCACCAGAAGCACACATCAATGCATTAGCTGCAGTCCCAAGCAGCCACCCCAATCCGCACTGGGAACTTGCCAGCAACGTCCACAGCTGGCAGCATCCACAGCTGATGCCAGTGCCCCTCTGGCACTCCTTCCAGCGTGCAGGGCAGGAGCTGGTATAAACTGTTCAAGGGGCAGAACATTGTGGTGCTGTAGCTGTGGGGATGGTTAGGGCAGGAAGGGGAGAGAGAGAGAGACATGTCAGGGTGCGTTGTAGCTGTAGATATAGTTTGGGCTAGGACCCAGGGCAGAGCAATGATCCATTCTCCACATGCACTGCCCAGAGAACTGGTGCCTGACACAGGGGCGTAGGGGCAACGAATCATGGCTCTGCTTCATGCTTGGCTGGGATGGGGCCAGGGCTGGTATCTGGGGGAGCAACATCTGGAACAGGTGGGGTTGGGGCTGGAATCACAGGGTCCTGGCCCCGGCCCCGGCCCCAGCTCCATGCTGTCACTGCCCTATGATTCCAGCCCCAGCCCTGCCTGCCCATCCTGCTCCCAGATGCCATTTCCCCAAATCCCATCGCTGGCCCCATCCCAGCTGAGAGTGGAGCCATGATCTGCTTCCCACACACCCCTGTGATGGGTACTGGTTCTGAGGGTAGAGGCATGCAGGGACCAAGGCCCTGGCTCCATGCCATCACAGGTCCATAAACCCAGGGTCTCCATAGTGACTGGCTGGGACCCACCTGGGCAGGGCACAGAGCCAGGCAGACAGGATGGGGCTGCTTAGGGAGTTTTGGTGAGCTGCTGCACAAGGGTGTGAGCAGTGTTGACTCAGCCCACAACAGCTCACTAAAATTCCCTGTGTGTCCTGTGGCCCAAATAATTGCCCACCCCTGATATATACAGGGGCACATTTTGATACATTAATCCTGAAATAATAATGATGATTATTGGGAAGCTTTGCTTTTGATTTTAGGATTTATCACAAAGGATCAGAATGTAGAAACACCTAATCTAATATTTTTGGTTGTTATTGACCAATATTTGCTGTTTTCAGATGTAGGCAATATGACATTAGAAAGGTGGGACCCTTTCTGCCTTGTGTTGCAATCTTCATGTGTTAAATTGTACTTTCCTTGTAGTCTCAGTAATCACAACATTTCATAAACATCTCAAGGATATCTCTAATGCTGTGGGCCATTGAACCTAAGCTACCATCATAGCTAATTTTTTGCTGCACAGCTGGAAACAAAAGGGTTTCTTTGTGCTATTCAGTGAATCATCTCCTGACCTCTGAATTATGCAACATATATGCAAAATGGAATACTATCTGAATAGACTGCTCCAAAAATATCAGTTGTTAAAAGGACGTTTACTCTTCGCAGATACGAGCTGATTGTAGATGACAAAAATTACAGCAAAAAGAATCCAACTAAGGACAAATCAGGGCCAAAGCCTGAAAGTGCTAAGAAATTCTATTTTGGTGGCTCTCCCCTCAGTACTCAATATGCCAATTTCACCGGATGCATAAGCAATGCCTACTTCACTAGGTATGTAACATCCTCACAGTATACAAAAATCTATGTCTGATGACACAGAGAGTTATACTAAAGAGAACTAATTATTTTCACAGTAAAAATATTTTTTCTTGTTTTCCCAGTGTGTGCAAACTTCTGTTTCTCTTATTTACCATCAAATCTGTCAGAACTGCCCTGCTAGGTCAAGAAATTGTTAAACTGGAAATAACTGCTGATGTAAATCAGCTTTTAGTACTGCACCTGTTACTTCCTTTGGTACAAGATGTAATTTGCATAGCTGTTAATTTACATTTCTATTATGTAATTTCCAGGATTGCCTCTGAAATAAAAGGATGATGCATTGCAGGGTCCTCCTGAGTTGTAAGCTCAGTCTTGGGAAAACCATCAGGTTTTGCTGTATTTTGCAAACTGTTTCTATATAGTTTTTCCAAGGAAATGTAGCGCAGAAAACTGAAGCCAGTTTTGTGTGTACAGAGCAGGTACAACGCAGACAGAAACTGTGCAAGATGTACAGTGTCCCACCAATATTTTATCCTAAAAGGACCATCTAAGGGTGAATAGATATTTCATATTTTCTGTTGCTTGCTGAGAAAAGTACTGCCAGATGGGAAATTGCTTTACTATATAGGCACCTGCCCCCTAATAACTATAATTAATATGTACTCAGATTTTTTTTTCCAAAATAAATTTATCCAAACCAGTAGTGGTATAGCACATCGGGGTCCCAGGGGTGGCGATGAAATCCCTCTGGTGGCTCCACAACTGGTACCCGCTCCACCCCTAGGGCATCTTCCCATGTCACCCAGCATGCCTTGATGGTATAATAATCATAATGGGGAGGCTGTCCATGGGCCTTTGCATGACCCCAGTTCAACTGAACCCCTGCTAGGGTTCCCTGGCACCCTACTGGTCCATACTATTCCTCAGGCCCCTCACTGGACCTCTCCAGTCCCAAGCACCTCACTGGGCTGCTCAGGCCGACTGTGCCCTGTAGGGCATCCAAAGCCTTAGAAGCTAATTTCTTGGCTCCAAATCCTCCCCTACACCATGCCCCAAGCCTCACGGGTGTTATTATACCATTGTTCTCTTGTTGGCGCTTCGACCTCCTAGGCTTCCACCCCTTCACTCTCGCTAGGCCTTCTAGCCTGGGCCCACTGTGTTGGACCTGGCCTTGATGCACTAGCTCCAATTTGTCCCTTACGGTCACCAGACCTTTGGCCCTTGTCTGCCAGGCCTCATGCCCCTGTGTGGCTGCACCCCTCCTCAGGCACCAAGCTCCTGGCCCCTGCCTGGCCCTGTAAGCCTTGCACTATGCCCACTCCAGGTCGATAGTCACTTGGGCTTTGAGGTTGCCCTTGGCAGGGTTCAAGGCGATCACACACCCCTCAGGCAATAGTAGGACCTCTGTAAACCACCCTTATAGTCCCAACCCAAACCACCAGTCTAAATATAACATAACATAAGCCTCAGGGTTGTAACATTACCAGCAACAATGGAAGCAGCCCTTTACCCCTTTAAGAGGGCAAGCCTTCCTTCACCCCTCATGCTGGCATACCTCCTAGACTGGGTTCCTTGTGAGCTCCCCAAGCCACACTGTTCCTGCAGGCTGGTGTTGCCAGGTGTACAATAATTATGGTATTTGTACAATAATTTCAAACATCGCACAATATACAATCAATAATAGCAAAAATGTTCAAAACATGCAATAATTTTTGAGGCAACTATTTGATGCAGCCTATGCAAAACCCAAATCACACTCAGAGTGTCTTAACCAACTTTTAGGTTTGCTGTGAGCACTTTATTACAACTGCTTGCCTTGAAATAAAACTATGCTTTAACCTTGATGACCCAGTTCTCACTCACTCACTGGCGACTTACAGTGAGCAATATAAAGTAAATAAGAAGAGAACTTATTTGCATATTTTTTCAGTGTACAATAGTTTTTCAGCAAATACAATAATTTCGAGCTTCCAATATGATCGTTTCGTATTCAAGACCTGGCAATGCTGCTGCCAGCAGAAAAGCAGTCAGTCCAGTGTCCCTGGGTAGCTCTCCCAGGCAGGAGCTCCTAACCCTGCAGCTGGCAGGGCTAGACTGGCTTGCCAGCCTAAGCCCCAGGTTTATATCCTCCCAGGGCCCTGCCCCATTCCGGTCAGCAGGCTGCCTGCAGGTGCTAACTAATTGCCTCATTTATCCCGTTGCCCTGACAACTGGCAGCTGCTGTACCCTGCCTAGCCTGCAGTGGTCCCTGGCTGGGCTGCTTTTACCTTAAAGGAACAAGGAGCCCCAGGCTCTCTATTACAGATGGCTATTGGAAAATTAGAAACATGTAACAATTATAAGGCTCCTTGGGCACATCTGCACGTTCATTAATGCACCACAGTTACTGCGCATTAAGTTTAGTACTTGTGTAATCAAGTACTAAATCAATGCATAGTGCTGGAGCATGCCTTTTTAATGACGTTACCGCGCAGTAGCCTAATAATACTGAGCAGTAGCATATTAGCACCATTTGTGCTGTGATACACTACTGCACAGTATTATAAGGGTACTGAGCAGTTAGCAACTCATATAGACGTGCCTCTTGAATAATAATAGCAAGCCAAACTTGGCTTGCCCAGCACTACCCATACCACGGGTTATAGCAGAGCAGGCTCCACAGAATACCTGAACTGGTGGGCAGGGAGTGAGTAGGACATTTCACAGTCTCAGTGAGGAAGTGTTAAGAGCAGAATGGACATAGGCTATGATAAATTGGTTTCCCAGTAAAGATAGATAGATATGCTTCTAAGGCAGCACTGTTATATGCTGGCCCTTACTCAAGGAAAAAAAATAAGGTATTTGCAACCTCACACAGATTTGTTTTCAAGGATTTTAAGTCACAAAGTCTTTTAAAATATCAGTTTAAATATAATTTAAAGATCTGTATTTTTCACAATGATACTAAATGAAAAAACAGCTATATATTTGACATTAACTTACTATGGATATTTTGATCATGTTTTAGTTCTTCTATGTAGAAAAAGTTATGCTTAACCAATTTCTGATAACTATTCATAACACCTTCTCCTCTTTGAAACACAGGTTGGATCGAGAAGTTGAAGTTGAAGATTTCCAGCGGTACCCAGAGAAAGTTCAGGCTTCCTTTTATGGATGTCCTGTTGAATCCCCTCCCGTTGCTCTTCTCCATAAGAAGGGAAAGAATTCGTCAAAAGCCAAAGGAAGTCGTAATAAAAAGGTTAGTTAGCACCAAATTACTTGTGACTACTCTGATACCAGCTTCCATTTGGCCAAAGTCCACAGTATATCACGATCTTAAATTTGCCAGATGGTTGTGGTTCCAAAAGAGGTCATTTGAAAAACAACAGAGGATGAGACTTGATCCCTTTGAATGTGCCTTAATTCCAAACAGATGCTCTGCCTTTGCCAAGATTCTCTAGCCCAGTGATTTGTCTGGAGAAAAGGAGATATAAAAGCTGTACTAAAAATCAGGGAGTATTGTAGCAGTTACAGAAAAAGAATGTAGTAGTTCACTGAATCCCAGTACCAGAAAGGACATGATATAATTTCCCCAACAGAAAATTTTCAGATACAAAATTATTTTACACTTGATCTCTTAGCAAAAATATCTACTGTAAGTCTTCTACTAGTAGAGAGTTACAGACCAGCATTAACCTTATCCCAACTTCAGCTGCATTAACCTCAGCTTTCCTGCTTTCATTCAAGGGGTTGGACCAAATTAACTCTGAGGTCTTTTCCAACTCAGTGATTCTGTGATTCAAAGAATACTCACACCTTTCTATTGTGCCTTAATTTTTGAGGTGTCCTAGCAAGTGTGAGGAAACGGGTCTTCTCCTGTTTTCTCTACAGTTTAAAAACACTGTGCTTATTTCTGCTTTCAGCTTCTTCCATGCAGTTCCATTAAGTACAGTCAGCTTTATACTGTATCATGTATATCATCATTATTATTATTATCAATATGCACGTCTGCATAGCACATATATTATTATATATACTGATTAGTAATATTACTGTTATTTACAATCAGAGTAAATAACAGTAAAATGTCGTCCCACTATATTAACACTGAACTAAACTGAACTGTAATAGAGCTCACATCATTTAAAGGGAAAAAAAACTCGAAGCCTGGGTTCACATAGGCAGTTTCATAAGAATTGTCATGACATGTTATTATTTGCCTCTATCTGCTCTCCTTCTGTGTCAATACTACATATGAAAGAAGACACTCATTATGATAAAACTGTTTTATTTAGGGACATATATCACTTAGATTTGGAACAACTCCAGGTATTTTTATAAACACTTTGTTAAAACATTCCCCACTGGCTAGATAATATTGTTACCGCTAATCATATCCACATCCACTTGGAAACTTGCTAATCAAGAGTTTTTTGTATGAAGGTGGGAAGAGACAAAGACAGAATCTCACAGCTTTTAACTGACTTCAAAAAATTAGACCAAGAAATCAGTGCACAAAGAGACCCTCACTGCCACTTGTCCAAGAATCCTAAGGCAATTGACCATGCCTATCAATTTGGAGGAATAGCGAATAGTCGGCAGGAGTTTGACTACATACCAAAGGATTTCAATGATGGGTAAGATAATAGACAGCAACCCTAGAAATGAAAAACAGCTTACAGTCCAGGAAAAACAGCAATGGAAACAAAAACCTGGAACTAATAAAATGTATTCCTGTCATTACTTGGATTATATGCTGTAGCCCTTTCATGAGTCCTTCATCTGTTTTGTCTCTTGATATATCTTGTTTCCCTGTCTATTTATTTGGCATCTAAGCCATTCTGGTTGCTAGTACAATATAAAACAGTACATTCTAAAACTTTGGAGCAAGCAATCTTCATCCCTTTCATGTCACAAGGCAGTAAGATTTGGGCCAAGTTCTGCAGTTTCATTTAATCCTAACTATTATGCCTGTTCACATCAATAGGTGCTTAGCCTCAGTAAAAAATGTGGGACCTGATCCAATGTTAATAATATTACAATATCATATTGTGACATAAAGGACTTAATTCAAAAGTATGTTACCAAACTGCAGGCTATATCACACCACCAGTCTCCACCCACAACCAGTAATGATTTCAGAGAAAGAGGCATGGCCTTAAGTGAACGTATTTGTATAGGAATCACTATACCATCTACTGAAGTTTAGTCTAGTCATATCTCGTGTGGGTTATAGCAGGTTTTATAAAGCTATGCAGTGAATTAAAGCATGAAGCTATAGACACTGTGTCCAATTCAAAGAGCAATGGAAAAGTAAGTGAAAAGGCCTGGGTAGCAAAGACATTTAGACTTCACACATTCACAAAAAGTGCCGTATGGTATTTTATGACTATAAATGGTCAGGATCTTGGCTTAATTTTTATACATAAGACAGAAAATTCAACAACACAATGCTATGTAGCAGCAACAGTAGGGTACTGTCTCAGAGGTAGAGTGCCATATATTGACTTGCAAACAATGGGACTATTAAATTTGATTTAATTCAATTCAGTGTTTTCCAAATATCTATTTCAAGTCTGATGTTGAAATTCAATGTAATACATACGAAAAAGAGGGATCATAAACCCAAAGTGTAGCAGAAACATTCATCCCTAATCACTGCTTTTTGTTTTAATGGCCATGAATGCTATTGTATCATAATGTTATTGTTTATTTTAAAATAGCTATGACTTTTGACATTTTTAAGTCTTTCTGGGTTATTAGGTGTATTTTACATGAAAGCAGGTCAGCAAACATAACTGAGAACCTTGAGAGTTGTCAAGCTAAACCTTGGATTAGATGAGAAGCTATTAGAAAGCTGGAACTCAGCAGTGACGTTCTGTAACACTAACAATCAGGCCAGTAAACTCTCATACCTCCACTACACTAAAAGGAGAGTTTAACATTGCCCCAACATTTTTCATATCTCCACTGCTATTAGCAATATTGGGAGGCCAAGGGCACAAAACATTGTAATCACCATCCCAATTAGACCTTCTGCTTTGATATGCTTTTGTGTGTAAGAAATGAATATAATATTAATTCTGATTGATCTGTATGGAATGATCTATATCAGTGGTGCCCAACCTATTCAGCCTAAGACCAGATGAGAAGCATGGGGCCAGTCTGCAGGCCAGATTCTGCATGCAGGTTTGGTCTTTGGGCCGGATCCAGTGTGGAATCAATCTAGGATGTGATCCAGCACACCAGCCCAGTCACATGCACCAGATCTAGCTATGGAGTGACCCCACGTGTCCGATCTAGCCATGGAGCAACCCTGAGCAACAGCATGGTCTGGGCTTTGTTCATCTCCTACTTGTGTCATCCAGCCCACAGGACTCCCCACAGTTCTGGAAACCTGGTGATCGGGAAGCAGCAGAAGTGTTAATTAATGCTTCCACTGTTACCCTGCCACTAAATTTCCAGGCCTGTGAGGAGCCCCTTCTGACAGATAACGCAGCTCCACAAGCCAGATACAGCCCATGGGCCATGGGTTGAGCACCACTAATCTATATGCATTATTCCCCCCTAAAATTTTGATTTGGTTTTCAAAAGAATTTAATCTGGTTAGTATCTGCTCTGGCTTCTAGTCAAAAACCATATGGAGCATACATCAAAAATATAATTTCTATAAGTAAGGAAAATATCCCCTACCACAAAAGGATAAATCTTGATTTTTCCCTCTCTGCACAGTGGCACTGTCCATTACGAATTGACAAATATCTATCCTGATAGTAACATGACATTTTTATTTTACAGATCTCAGTTCTCCATTAGTCTGAAAACTCACTCATCCCATGGAATGATCTTTTATGTCTCTGATCAAGAAGAGAACAACTTCATGACCCTTTTTGTTGCCCATGGACGGCTCATTTTTATGTTTAATGTTGGTCACCAGAAGATAAGGATTAAAAGTCAAGAAAAGTACAATGATGGGCTTTGGCACAATGTAAGTCAAAGAAATGGTTGTTAGGATGACGTGCTTTAGAAACTATAGTTATAAAAGTGATGCTCTAACAATTCGTTTTCAGCAAAAGATTAATCTTTGTTCTGAACCACATATACATAACTATGCGCTGAGACATTTCTGCTAACATTTAAAAATCTACTGTAAAATCTCTCTCTCTCTCTCTCTCTCTCTCTCTCTCTCTGTAAATGTTGCTAAATCATTAACTGGGAATAAGGTGGCTAGCTGCCAAATCACTTATAGTCATCCAGATATTTACCACAACAACAGCTGCATGGAAGAAGTAGGGATGAGCAGATTTGAAAGATCAAGTATTGACCAAAACAAGCAAATAACAAGCCAAGTTTGGTTAGGCTTAGAGCTGGAGGGGAGGGCTGTGGAGAACTAGAGCAAGTAAAAGGAAGAAAAGAGTTGGAAGACAGGTAAGAAAGAAAATTAATGGTATGTAAAACAACTAGTTTGCGGCTGCTTGCAAAGTAAGAATGAGATAACCTTCTTTTCTAATATTGTGCCATTATCTCAGGTCATAGAGTTGTCTACAACCATTATCTTCTTCTGCTGTATAAATGGTGTTTCCTCAACAGTTTGATTATCCTTTGGTTAAACAATTAACATGATTTTAATAGGAATTTTTCTCCTGTTTAGGTGATATTTATTCGGGGGAAAAATATTGGTCGTTTGATAATTGATGGCCTTCGAGTATTGGAAGAAAATGTTTCTACTGATAAAACCTGGCAAGTCAGTGAGCCACTCTACATAGGGGGTGTGGCTCCAGGAAAAGCTGTGAAAAATATCCAGGTAAAGTAGACATGCACTATTGAATAAGATATATGTAATTAAAATGTTGACTATACAGATAAACAGAGGCAAAAGCATATTGTGGCATTGATCCTGAGGCATTGTTGGAATGCACACAGGGTACATCAGGAGTCAGTTGTGAAAACTGGGTGTAAGACACATTTGTTCTGTGAAGCTGGTGACTGGGGCTTGACATCCTAGCAATGCTGAGGACACCAAGGTGTCATTATGACAGCTACAAGTATCTGAGGAGGAGAGACATGCCCCTTGGTCAGGCTGATGGGAAAGGATGTTGAAGAGGCCATCCCATTAGCTCTGCATCACTGGAAGATGCTCCTTCAAGGGAATGATTCTTACTTGAATAATTAGATTGGCATTAGTGCTGATTTGGAATTAAAAGTGCCTCACAAGGGTTCTGTTGGTGTTCTATATTAATCCTAATCTAAGGATTAGGGGCATTTTTCCCCATCTAAAAATCTCATCACAAAATAGTATTAATAGTAGAATTACATTTAAAATGTAATTCTATCATTAATTGTATGATATTAATCGTATGATACTTGTAATTCTATCATTAATCGTATGATTAATGATAGAATTACAATATATTTCAACAAGTACTATTTTAACAAGAGGCTCCTACAAAACTACTCCTATTTACCAGCAATAAAATTGGGTATAGTAGTTTCATAGTAGCTAGGGTCAGGAGGGACCTGAACAGATCATCTAGCCTGAGCCCCCGCCACAGGCAGGAATGAATGCTCGGTTCACAGGACCCCAGACAGGTGATCATCCAACCTCCTCTTGAATTTACCCAAGGTAGGGGCGAGGACCACTTCCCTGGGAAGTTGGTTCCAGATTTTGGCCACCCTAACTGTAAAATATTGCCTTCTCTAACCTAAACCTATTCTCCATCAGCTTATTACCATTGTTCCTCGTCACCCCAGGTGGTGCTGGGGAGAATAGGGCTCTGCCTATTTTCTGTCGATCTCCCCTGATGAGCTTGTAGGCAGCCACCAGGTCCCCCCTCAGCCTCCTCTTGCTGAGGCTGAACAGGTTCAGGTCCTTCAGTCTCTCCTCATAGGATCCTGTCCAGCTGCACTCTCAAGCGGGTGGCCCTCCTCTGAACCCTCTCCAGGCTGGCCACATCCCTTTTGAAGTGCGGTGCCCAGTACTGAACGCAATACTCCAACTGTGGCCTGACCAAAGTCGCAAAGAGGGGGAGTATCACTTCTCTAGACCGGCTTGAGATGCACCTTTGGATGCATGACAAGTTATGGCTGGCCTTGCTGGCTGCGGTCTGGCATTGGTGGCTCATGTTCATCTTGGAGTCAATAATGACTCTGAGATCCCTTTCTGCCTCTGTGCTTTCAAGAAGGGAACTCCCCAGCCTGTATGTATGCTGTGGATTCCTTCTCCCAAGGTGCAGCACCCTGCATTTGTCTA